TGTGTGTGTGTGTGTGTGTGTGTGTGTGTTTAAGGCTTCCAGAAGTACATACGTATTCAGGGGATAATACTCGACTGTTCTTGAACACCTAAATTTACTATTTTTGAAGACTTGATATACAAACAAAATTGTTCCTTACCTCAAGATCAAATCACATTCACCACAAACTACAATTTACTCCTACTAAGGGGATCATCTGAAGATTACCCCCCGGCTTCCTTCACTACTTGCGGGGCGTTTGGATAGGTTTTACGGGAAGGAATTTAATCTTGAAATAAAAAAAAATGAAGGGATCCGAATCTTCAGGTGATCCTAAGCAAGTTTTTCATTGTTTTCTTTCTTAAATCCCCCAGCCACCAAGCTTGAACTGTTAGCGTAGAGTCGCCAGTGACCACCATCATTCTGAGCTATTCTTAACATTAAACAACCGTGCACGTTATCCCTGACAACTTAAAAAAACAACTTTATTTCAGTATTTGGTAAAGGTGTTGATAACGGCTACCACCAGAAGTTTTGTTGATTTATTATTTTTTTTTTGCTGTACTTATTGTTTTGATAATTTTAAATATATTAAAGAAACGACAACTTTCTATTATGATTTTATTTTTATTTTTTGAATTGTTTTATTTAATCTATCCCGCTTCACAACTCTCCTCCCGGCGCCATTTTTGTTGTTTACCTCCCTGACTCCCTCTTCAAGAGACGTTTCCTAGATGATGGTGAACGCTTCCACGAATTCCTCCTCGCCGTTGCTGATGTATATCAACCTCAATATTAAGGTAAGTTGTTTAACACGTAAATTAATACGATAATGCAGAGAACCTAATAGAACCTGACCTAACATACCCAACCTATGGGTATGTTAGGTCAGGTTAGGTTCTATGCATTGTCGTTTCCATTTTTTTGTTTAATATCACAATATAAGAGTAGAAAAAAATCAACCAAATCGGATAATTCCTTCTGGTGGTCCCCCTCACTCTACACCTTACCCAGTATTTTAACATATATCCCCATATACTGTATAGTGTGGCTTAAGTACATATACACAAAAGAATATGTTAAAATTTCATACCAAGAATATCTGAATCACCGTAAACAAATGGCAGCTATGAGACTACTACAAGCAAATGTTTTATGAGTTAACAAGAACCAACCAAAATCAACCTAACCTAATGACTTCAGGATATTTTTGTCGTTAATTTAGTTCCTTTTGCCTGAAATCGAAACTTATCACACAGGAAACCAAAGAAAGAAAAAACAATGAAATCTCAATTCCTGGGGTGATGTAGACTGTAAAGGAATCACCTTTAGAATCTCCACCCCAGCTTGTTTCACTATTTGGGGAATGAAGTTAGGTTTGGATAGGAGAGGATAGAATAGGTTAAACTAGGATAGGTTATGACAAGATGGTATATGATAGGTTAGGATACGTTACGTTAGCGTGGTTAGGTAGGGTTAGGTTAGAATAGGTTAAATTAGTATAGGTTAGGTTAGGTTACTTTAGCGTTAGGGTGGCTAATCTTGAAGTGAAAAAAGCTGGGGTGGAGACTCTTCAGGTAATCCCTATTAAATATTACCTAATGTAAAACAAATCTTATGTTAAGTGAGAGCGCCGCCTTGGGGTGCACGGAGCTGTTACACAACCCTCCTCGGCTTCATCTTGTGGTAAAGTAGCCTGATCATGTTCCAAATTTTCAAACAAGTTACGCTGGCGTCCTGAAGGTCTCACAAATAAATTTTAAAAGTTGTCACTTCGGCGATGTGATAATTATACTTACATTAACGTTCTGAAGTGCTCTCCAGGACCACCACAGAACACGAATAAACACCGGTCATTATACCACAACGCCACAAAATTAAAGCAGCTTAAGAACGAATCCAAATTTAAGTTACCCAAATAAACGGCTGAGAAGTTAGATGGACCCCGGTCTTAGAGGGCTCTAATGTAACCAGTGACATTGGGGGCCCCATAAACCTGGGCCACACAGTCACACCCAATGCTTAGTCTGGTTACGGCCTATCTGACCAGTCACCAAAGGACCGGGGTCAAACTGTTAATAATAATGACCTTATGTCACACCAGTGTCAGTTTCTTGTCTACTTCACCATTACCACTGCTGGCTGACGTTATCCAAAAACCATTAAGGGTTAACGTGACAACACAATCTTTTTCACCTCTGTAGCACTTATTACACTGTCACAACACACTTTAGAACACTTGAGAGAGAGAGAGAGCGCGAGGAGTGAGTACGTGTGCTCACCTCAACACCGCCCACACACTGGCTCACTCACGGTACGGGTCTTCATCACACTGACACACCACCAGGAGCAGCACACACGCGGGCACACAGCAATGGCCCAGCGACGCCCCAGCTTTCCTACCGCCTCTGTGTCTAACCCACCTCCCACCATAACAAGGCCAAGACTGGTTCAACACGCCGATCTCAGACCTCACCACTACACACTCTGGCCACATACCCAAGACTTTCGTCAAGTGTGTTATAAGAGTGTGACAGCTGAAGTGGCGACGTGGGACCTTTACCAGGGACCTCTAACAACCTTCCCCTTGTATACTCCTCACACTGTTCTAGTTCATTTGGGTTAATCCGGGATTGACGACCTTCTCAATCTCATCAATTTCCAGAAGAAAGTTAAGACAGGCATAAGAATATCTGACTTAGTACTTTGGCCACAACAAAGTCACAATATGGTATCAAGAAGATTTTACCTGATACACCAAACTCGCAGCACCTGGGAGACAACAATATTCTCTCCTGATTTCGTGTGTTTCCCAATTAATTTCGCCAACTCTCCACCACACAAATCCTACTCTTGAACGAAATCTCACAGGCCGGTGAACAAAGTGTAGTTGATTAATTCTTCTGATTATTGCCATACCTGCCCAGAAGGGTGAACCAGATTTGCCAGATACTTACAGATGGAGTAATTGGTAGAGGAATTTAATTTAGTATAGGCTCAAGGTTTCTCTCTGTAAGGCACATAGAAGTAAGTTTATACACAACAACAAGAGAAAACAAACAACGATGTAATGAGGTTTTAACGGCTATCTTGGGTTATTCTCGGCTGAATCGGTTACTGTTCATTATTGTTTATATACCAGCACTGTGGCTGTATCCGTTGAACCAATGTAAATTTGTTTGATTTTATTACTGAACAATTATCTATCTTTCAGGTGTCGTGGTTTACAGTCCCTTATTTTGTATTTTCCTCCCCAAAGTTGCATTTCCGTTTACCAACTTCTCCGAAATCTTGAAGATAAAAACTTAAGTCACCCAAATCAAATGGATATGAATGTGGAAACGCCTCTGTGCCCGAATACGTAAGATTATAAAGCACATCACAATACATATTTATCTTTAGTTCTATTAGTCAAACTCGTCAGTCACCGCCCAAAATATTTTCCAGCACAGACTATTATTTCTCGGAAAGGAAACGAGAGAATAATACGTGGAGGAGGAGGGGGAGATGGGACGGGCGCTGGGCAGGTGACGGTCGTGGTGTGTACTTCCCGCGGGCACCCAGGCTGCCACTCTCTACCTGATATTTATCTCCTACGATGCTGTATTGTATTATGAGCCAATAATAACACGCTATGTGAGGTTATTGTTTAGTTCCAGAGTTGGGGCGCTATTGTCATTATCTCTCAAGAGGCTACACAAGCGAGAGAGCAAGGAACAAAGTGAGGTGGTGAGGGAGGACGCGGTAGTTTTTACCCGCCGACAAACTGTGCTGTTCCAGACCAGTCAGACAACAAAACGAATTGGCAGGACTCTCTCAGGAAGTGTTGCTGACTACTGTTATACACTCGGTAAAACTTTTTGGATCGCCTGAAGAATATCCACCCCAGCTTATTTCACCTAAAGGTTAACCACCTCAACACTATTTGGGAGGATGATGTTAGGTCAGGTTAGTGTAAGGGTAGTTAGTCTCCAGGTGAAGTAAGCTGGGGTGCAGATTCTTCAGGTGCTCTGTTTTTAACCACAAATCAGTAACTTCACTACGAATCACTATACCTCTACAGGATCAGAATAACAGCACAGACTACACTTAGATTTGGTCCTGTGTTCTATAATACGAGTATACAGTATATATATTTTTAAAGTGTTGCCTCTATGTTATATCAAAGGGATCACTAAAATTAAAACAGCCACTGAAGCAGTAAGAACACCATAGACCACAAGAGGTGAGGTGAGGCACAACACTGCTGCAGCACGCGGCCACCACCCACATTACGCTGTTTGTTTATTCTCTACGGGACGCCTTGTCGACCACGCGGGCCACACCTGCCTAATTGCCTCTCTCTCTCTCTCTCTCTCTCTCTCTCTCTCTCTCCAAAACAACTTCTTGTGTGGCAGCATTCTGAGCTTGTGTTCTATTTTTTTTTATTAAAAAACTAATGAGTGGAAGCAATTCCCAATAAATACATTTTTTATAAAACAATACAAAATGAGTTTGTTGGTCACATAGCCTGATCCTGTGAAGAATTACGAAAGTTTCCCATCCCCCAATAATAATAATAATAATAATAATAATAATAATAATAATAATAATAATAATAATAATAATAAAAGCTGACAGTGTGGCAGTTGTTGTAACTGCCACAGATCTACAGTTCACTCCAAAGACCACCTACCGAGTCTTTGTACACACGTTCGATATTTATTTTGTTCAAGAGAAATGATGCAACGTTGTGAGACCTGTGCATCACTGACGGACGTGATGTATGCGAGTCGCCACAGCGGGGGAGGAACACTTCATAACCACAATAACAATATTCCTCCTGTGCTGCACCTTTATATATTTCACCCACGTTCACAGTCATATACGTGTTCTTAGCCTTTATGTATATTTCTTAAAAGACATCCACAACAGTACGTGAAAACCATATTATGAACCGCATAAACATTTTTGTTTTCGTATTTCACTTTCCTCTCAATATGTAACTAGTAATTAAGATCAGCGTCTATAACATGACTCACTTGTTTATATCGTTAGAGGAAACAAAAGAGGGTCAGAGACTTCCCTTCCTCCCTCATCACGGGCTGACAACACACTGGACTAGCCACCTGCTGCCTCGCCCTCGCCCCAACACCTCCAACAAGGCCCTAATCTACCCAGCTCAGATACCTCACCTTATCACCCCCTATCACACCGATATCACCCATAAAGTACTTCAATTACTTTGCGATATGATAGAGGTGTATAAATGGAAGTCAGGGCTGAACAAAGGGGACATTACAAAGGTACTCAAACTATCCAACCAGGAGCGAACTCGTAACAATGGTTTTAAATTATATAATTTAGATTTAGGCGCGAAATAGGTAAACATTAGTTTGGAAATAGAGTAGTGGTGAATGGAACAAGTTACCAAACATCATTATTAACTCGAATACGCTGGATTGGGCCAATAGGCCCGCTGCAGTTTCCTCCATTCTTATGTTCATACTAAACACTTAAACCCATTCACCCATGACAGAGGCTTTGTTTGACGAATATAAACACCTAAGTCTATTAATTCCATTTATTTATGTTTCTACCTATAAGATAAAGAGTGATAAGAACAGGTAACCAGTGTTATCATCATTATTACTAGCGGTGTGTGTAAGGTAGTGCTTTTGAGAGTGGGTGGTGGCCAGGACACGTGGACGGCCAACGATACGGTCCGTGCTCCTTTGTGACAGTGAGGATCTTTGTAACATGAGGAGACTTGCCCGGCTGTTTGGTTCTTACACTTAGGAAAAACAAATATTCACACACTAACTTATAAACCAAATGGGATGATTATGATGCAGGATTACAAAACGATGTCCCTTTTTGTCTCAGTCACACGAGAGAGACATTAATTTTTCCTGTGATTCTTATTTCATTTTACAAGCTAACAATGAGTTGTCTGTCCATCAGTTCTGTGTAAAATAACTTGTGCTTTGATTCAACACACCCAGACTCTTTTTAACCTCTTGAATACGGTGGCATAACCCCGTTTACTCAAGCCACTGTACTCAAGGGGTCAAATCATCGTCCTCAAGGTGTTTTCAACGTATGCACAAGGGGTTAAATCATCATACTCTAGGAGTCTAGGTGAAGTCATCGTACTCAAGGGGTTAATGTCAAATAATCCATAAACGTGTATTTTGAGTTACTAAACGTTCATATTTAAACCAAATTTTCACGAAAGTTGTCTCACCACTATCTTGCTATAAGTTCCACACGATTACATCATATAAGAGGGGTTAAAGATCCCCCAGATATTAAGAAAACCAATTGGGATTGTGGTCCATTGTAGCCGAGAGCAAGTCATGTTGGACTGAAGGGTGAAAACACATGTTGCATTTACCTGTGGATGTTGGCCACCTGAGTTTATATAATTATTTTCATTTAATTATTTATGTCTGCAAGATTCGTGTTCCAAATGTGTTCTAAATCATTAAGCTTACAAACAAGTGGAAAGAAAGTGTGGTGCTAGTAAGAGAGACTATTAGGCCACGAGAGGAGGTGCGGTGCTAGTGACAGAGACTATATGACCACACTAGCAACACCAAGTGAGCAAGATACGCCGTGCTAGTAAGAGAGACTATTGGACCACAGTAGCAGGAGGTGCGGTGCTAGTGACGGAGACTATATGACCACACTAGCAACACCAGATAAGGTTGCTGACTTATTAGGAAGAGCCTTGCCGGGAGGTACTGTTGGGGCAATCACTCACTGTTCCTCCGCCTTCAACACACGCTCGTCTTCGCACTCACCTCAGTAACTATACCCACAGAATAGTCCATTACATACATACGGTTATTTCTACTTCACCTGTTCCTCATCTACACACAGGTAAACGTGTATATCCACAGCTGTAGTTTACATTAAATAAGTAAACTACATGTTAACAATAAATCAGGTTAGTAACAAAAGGGGTTTTCTTTATAGGCCTACACATTTTTATTGTCGCAGTTGAACGCTATGTACACTGATAAGCCAACAACAGTGTCACCTTGGTCAATTGTGTGTTACCTGAATTGAAAGAGAATACAGGTAATGACTCGACACTCCTTCCTTCCACTCTGGCCTTTGTCGTGGTGGCAGGGTAAAGGCTTCAAGTGTACATGAAAAAAAAAAATCTATCAGGGGAAATCCCACTTTGCAATTTCCCAACGGCACAAACTAATCAAGTGAACTAAATCCCTGCAGCTCAAGCCTCTTACTCTACCTGTACGTTAAGTTAGGTTAAGTTAGGTTTGGTTAGGTGACTTTTCCTGTGACTTTTTCCCCTAGATTCGTCTCCTCTGACAGGTCTGTTTCTTAACCTAACCCGAGCAGAGACAACAATACTTTTTGTCTGCAGATCGTAAATCTCTAACGATGATTATGGTGTAGGAAAATGATCAGTGTTATATGAGTGTATTATGAACCCGTTGCTTCCTCCCTATACGATGGATTACAAGGACAGTCTGAACGTATCCCCCAGCATCAGGGGGAGTCAGGTCACAGCCTTATATATCAAGGTAGTCGAGAGTAACATAGTCTATTCCGAGTCTACCAACATGAGACAAAATCCACAGGAAAATGTGACAAAAGAGTTCTCACGGGCAAGAGACGTGTCATGTGGTGGACTCAGGAAGAGGATGTCCCGTATTTCTCTTCCTGCAAACTCTACAATAGTCTCAGTTAATATCCTTTTCTACCGTTGCCTCGAGCGCCCCACTGTCAAGAGGCCACATACCACAGGAAGTTACTAGTACTGTGTGTCACCACCTGCTTGTAATTCTTGTACGCTACTTAACACTTTGCTAGACTAGGGTAGCCGTCCTCAGATCACAATGCATTAAATTATTTAGATAAACAGAAAAGTGTCTTAATACGAGTCATATTTTTATTCGAGAACTTTATTTATACTATTTTTTAGGTTTCCGTTTATTGCACGTCCTTAATTCTAGTCATCATTTAGGGTTCTCGAAAAAAACAGACCCTTTATTTCTTGAATGGTATTCCTGTCCATATTCTCACTGGCGACCATAACACACTGTCAAGGTCAATACTTGCCAGGAATATCCACACAAAAACGTCAACAACGAAAGGAACTAATTTACGAAAACTACTCAACAAGGGCACCCGTTGTGTGTAGGATGAAGATGTAATACTTACCCTATAATCTTATACACGTCAATTTGTACAGCAATGAGTCAAAGAAGCGGCCAACCTTGACACCAAATCTCACCTTAGTGTAATCATACTCAAAACTCAGTCTCATAATCATAGTCAAAGCTCACAGTCTCATAATCACAGTTAATAATTACAATAACAATGTACTTACTCGCAGGGTCCAATGCCAAGGTAATTACAGAGAGTGTGATCTAGGAGTTAAGAGTAGCCGTCATCAACACATACACACGTACCTGGAGATAGAAAACGGAGGTTAGTTATACACCAGAGAGCACGAGATGAGGGAGGTGTTGGAGGGATGACTATACTAACGTTGTAACTGTAATGCTGGTCTCTGTCTGCTGTCAATACTCACTTTCCTTGTCTTATTTCTATGAACATCCACATTGTATTTGCACAACGAGTCATGCCAAATTCGGATAAGTTTTTAGTGTTTATTGTTAAATCATACAGTACAGAATTTACTTAATTTCATTCCATTCAAACCAAACCATACTAAAAGTGGGTTAGGTTAGGTTAGTACAGGTGATATTCCATTACACACACACACACACACACACATCAAATATTGTTATTTAAATACAAACATTATAACACAAAGCCATGAAAGACGGGAAGAATTTATCATAATAAGTTTGAGTGATGCGATATAGCCACAAGTTAACCCTGACACAGTTAACAGGCCAAACAAGAGAGCTGCAGCAGCGTACATACCTCCAAACATAATCTAATTCCCTCCTCATTTAAGCTGTGTTATGTAGCCTCACTCTCTGGTGTCCGGGAGGCTGAGTTGTGTATTAATTTACCATTTACAAGGTGACTATCCCCCTCACTTGTGCTGCGGTCATTAATTTCTCAAGCACAAAGGTATAATTTGCTGCTCCTGTTCCTTTCATCGCCTAAGGAGCTCATATATACCAAGTAGAAGACAAGACAGTGTTACGCAAACCAATCACTAAAGGCCTACAACCTCATACTGATGCTGAGGGATTGTGGTTCTTGTTGCATCTGTGGTGAAAGACCTGCGTCGAGGTGTTGGTGTTTGAGTGATGGTAATAAGTTGCGATTTTTTTTTCTTGTCGTTCATAGATATTGAACCTTACAAGATCTGAGAGATCATTTATATACAGGGAGTAAATGTGATCTCTCTCTCTCTCTCTCTCTCTGTTCGGTCACTGTGTCGTAGGCAGGACTTGCGTGTACTAAACTACGAGAAAATGTTTTCACGGCAGTCAGAGAGGGAAATTACCCCTGAGCATTTTCTCTCTGATTATAACACCCTAGTTCACACACACACACACACGCACACGCACACACACACACACACACACACACACACACACTCTCTCATAGCTATTAACATTCTTTTCATCAGTTTTCGCATCGGTGGACGAGGGGCACAATTATGATGTGGTATAGCTCGACTTCAGCGAAGCCTTCGACAAAGTCCCCCACGAAAGACTAATTAGAAAGGTAGAAGCTCATGGCATCAACGGTAATATCCTTAAATGGATTAGGGCGTGGTTACAGGATAGGAAACAGCGAGTGAGCTTTAACAGCACTAAATCCCATTGGAGCAACGTCACTAGTGGAGTTCCCCAAGGCTCAGTACTTGGACCATTATTATTTATTATATACATAAACGACATAGATATCGGCATAGACAGCAACATAAGTAAATTTGCTGATGACACTAAAATAGGGCGTGTTATTAAATCTGACGAGGACTCCGCAAAACTACAGGAAGATCTAAAGAAATCTATCGAATGGTCTGAAAAATGGCAGATGAAATTCAACGTGAACAATTGTAAAGTACTCAGTATAGGAGATGTAAACAGGGAAACCAGTTACCAGATGAACAACGATGCCATTGAGAAATCCGACTGCGAGAGAGATT